TTTCTGGATAGGATTTGAAATTGTAAACATGAGTTCCTCATCCAGTAGTACTTCTAATATCAGTGATATGTCAAGTGAAGATTTGGACGAGTTTTTTGCTGAAGAATTGGAGGAATCGTTTGATTTTCAGGGATATCAATTCCAGCTAATTCGTCGTCGTTCATTAAGTGAGGAAGAAGATTCGGATAGCAACTCTTCCAGTTCTTTAATTGAGGCTGTGAATCTCCGACTACAAAATTCAGATTGGTATATAGAGTGACTTTATTTATATATTATTATTTCAGGTCATTCAATTAAAGGTATTATTGTAGACTTTCGCCTTGTGATTATTCTTTAGGTGTACGTGCGAGCATTGCCAATTAATGGATCGAGATGTTGAGTGTATTTGTTGTCATGAAGTACCTCAAATAATAAGCGAAAATCAGCAAGTATTCGAAGAGGAAAATCTTAGCGAGCCAATTTCTTGTGTTACCAATAATCCTGGTTTCAAGGCAGTCTGTTTAAATCGATGGGTACTGGAAGCTGCATGGTTTCAGTATCGACAGTATTATGGCAATAAGACTTTATACCAAGGTCCTGAACATAAGAGAAAGCGACACATTGCATATAGGCAGTTGGTTCGATTGTGTTGGGGCGTTTTAGGTAAAGAAATCAGGGTGGTTTTACCTTCATGTGCAGTGATGTGTATTCGTGCCCATTTCCCACCACCTGGCCTTGAGGAAGATTTTGAGTACACTGGTTTTCTTTATGCTGATGAGTAAAACGTTATTTTGTCCCATTTCGCTAAGATATTGAAATAATGAAACATGTTTAAAGTTATTAAGATAAATCCTAGAAGCATCTAACTAATTAGTACGAGATAGTGTAGCATTCATTAATAATAGAAAAACCCAAAGTATATTTTGCAGAAATTATCGTTTTTGAAATTTATTATTTTTGAATTTTGAATGTTTAGAATTTTTAGGAGTATATTGGCAGTAGTCTACTTTAGCTTATGAACATTTAATTTTTTAAAGTGACATGTTCAAATCATTCGGTGTTTTACCTCTCCATGTTGTCCATTCATCTTTTCACTTTCTCCTTGACCCTCTGCTTTGCTTGCCGCCAAAATATTTTTTAAGTATCAATAAGCTTGAATGTATGTTATTTATCTGTTATGTACTGTGGTTGTGTTGTGATGAAGTTACTTGTAGCAATCAATTGATCAATCACCTTTTATCACACTTCTTCCTTCTTTTTTAATTTCTTCTCCATTCTTGAAATATGTTCCTTGATTACATCTTCTTTTGGTGGTCTTTTAAGAGACGCAATGTTCTTTGGGATGTGCGATGGTACTGCAATCGCCTTCTTTTCCCCAGCCTCATGGTATTTCATTGTCTCATCCATCAGGTTTGTCACAAAGTTGTATGATTTCTTCTCTAAGATTGGCTTAGCCAACCAGGGTTTGCGATTTTTTGGGAATACGACCTTGTACCTGCTTTCTCCCATCCCCTTTCCCCTTTTCACCATTGCTTGTTGTCTATCACAGTTGCTGTTATGATCCAAGATAGTCAGCTGTGTTCTTCCCACCATGCCTTGGTAGGAAAAGTGATTCCTTTTGGGCAGATATTTCAAAAGGTGTGAGTGATAGACTTCCAAGTTCCCTGTATGATGGAACTCTGTTAACTTTTCAATGGCTTTTAATAATTAAGAAATTAATGACGTTTTGTTGGTTTTGAATGATTAAGTATTTAACTGAATTTGTCAAACAATGAAATGTGATTGAAAATGCAAAAAGAAAGAAAGAAAGACAATAAAAAGAAAGAAAAAAAGAGAACAAAAAATTTGCGTCTTTAAATAAAGCACGAGAAAGACTGGTACAAATTCAATGGAAATGGAATAATCTTCATGGAGAAATAATAATGTTTCGTGGCCTCCATATTGAAATGGCGTTCTTGGAGTTACTCGGTGGATGGCTGAAAAGGAGCGGATGGACAACTGCATTGACGGACGCAGAAATAGCCTCAGCGGGAACAGCAAATTCATTCCTGAAGGCGTCAAGTGTTACGCGAACAAGGCGGGCACATCAAATCACAGCAATCAGCTTGTATATCCTACTTCAACGTGCATATGCCAAGTACCCAGAGCACGCAAGCGCAAATGGAAGCCCAGCATTTTTATTTTATGAATGGTGTGAGAAACAGAAGTCAGTGCCACAGTTCTATTACTGGTACGTTGCTATGCAGCTTCAACTTTTACTACTGGTGTTCCTGAGATCAATTCGCACATCCAATTTCAAGCAGTACACCGATTCTCTTTCTAAAATGATTCCCTGGCTTTTTGCTACGAACCACATCAACTATGCACGCTGTCTCCCTGTTCATTTGCTGGACATGGGCAGACTTACCCAGACTTCCCCCAGTGTTGCATCAAAGTTTGAAGAAGGCCTTTTCACAGTATAGAAATCATCCAGGAACTTTTCGAGTATGGCCATCGACCAGGCTCATGAGCAAAATAATTCCATCGTAAAAGGAGAAGGCGGAGCAGTTGGTCTAACTGAAAACCCCAACGCTCTTCGACGCTGGATGGTGGCAGGTCCTGAGCTAGCAAAACTTGCGAAAGAAATTGAAGCGGATATGAATAGAGAAGCAAACCATCAGATGCCAGCCACATCACATCATGAATTGCACAAGAGTTTTCAGACGTCATTTTTAGTAGATGTTAAAGCCCTTGTAAATACCATGGAAGAGCTAGGAAATCCTTTTTTGGAAGACAGCCAAGATCTTATCGCCTTAGACACAAAAGAAATTCCCGGACGTGAAGCTGTATCAATGATGATGAAGGCAGAAGCTATTGGTCAAGAACAAATCCAGGTTTACATATCTGAGTGTTTAGTGAACCGAAAAAAGTCGATGTATGAACCAATCAAGAGAAACAAGATCTACCTGTTTAATACCCCAGCGCCAAAGACATCTAAAGCATCTCAAAAGGTCTCATCACTCAAGAGGGACTGCTCCCTTTTTTCCAGATTGTATATTTCACGCCAGTCAAGGGACGGTGATCTGGATAAGTTTTTCCAGCATGAAAACCAGCGATGTCCAACAGCGTTATCTGACCTCGGAAAGCTACGACTTCCAAGAAACAAATCAGAATTGGTAGAATGTCCTCAGTCTCACACAAGTCCACGGAGCACGATCCCAACGAATGTTGACGTTATCATAATTGACGGCGCAGCTCTGGTGAATATGATCAAACCTGGCGCACAGAAGACGTTTCACCAATATGCCACTGAATCTTTCTTGCCGTATGTCAAAACACATATCAGCAAATCTCAGCGTGTTGATGTCGTATGTGATGAGTATATAGAAAACAGCCTGAAACAAACGACTAGATGTGATCGCGGAACTGGTGTCCGACGAAGTGTTGAAGCAAACAACCAACTTCCTCGCAGCTGGAAAGATTTTCTTCGGGTGGAGAACTTTTCAAGTTTTTAGCCGGACTCATTGCGTCTCAAGCATGTTAAGGCCTGGGTTGAGCCAGAAAAAGGGCTTAATAGGGGAAAAAATCATGTTTTCCCCCGAATGAGCTAAAACTCTGGCTGTTTATTCTTGGTATTCCTGATTTAAAAATCCAATTACATGTCATATTTATGTCACGTGACGTGTCACATGACCATTGTAACATTTCATTGAATTTACAAAAGTAGGTGCCGAGTTTTTCATAAAACAATCTAATTTTTATATTTCTTAAGACTAAATAAATATATCTGCCCTTTCACGTTGGGAATGGTTGTCCTTTATCCATTGGTTGAAAGTTATTGCCTTGTTATTCTGGCTTCTCTCCGTTAGGTGCAATTTCGGTGGAGTTCTGTATGTAAAATACATCTATTCTCAACGTAAAATTTGAAAACTTTATCAGTTCATTACCTTTTGATTATCTATTCCTTTTCTTAAATGATATTCATCACCTACTTTGCAAAATCCTGGCAGTCCTAATAACAATAGCATAATGTCCGCCATTTTGTCATCTTGAAATCCTAAGAAGCTTGGGCTCTAGGAAGGTACTTCATGCACTGGTATAGTGAAAGGCTCTAGTACTGAGAAATCCAAGATGGCGGACAAAAGGATATTGAGTTGCCAAGAAAAATAATTTGGATTATACTGAAGTTTTCGTCAAATTTTGAAGAGTTTCTTTTCTTTGTTGGATAACCAAGACTCCCACAGTGTATTCAGTGGAAAATAAACTCAACCACACGAAGAATTATCACAATAAATATGCATTAACTTTTGCTTATTTGTTTTATTGATTGCTTTTACATTTTTATGGCTTACATTTTTTAACACAGATAAACCGTATTTGCTCTATATAAATATTTCTTAAGTACAGCGATATATTATACAATAAGCATGCGCGAATTTTGTATGGTTTGGCGGCAATTTCAATTTTCTAGATTTTTGCAAAAACCATCTTTGTTTATGTAATGCATCAACCATGGGCGTTGATTGTGGTTTTTCAAAAGTGTTTCTGTGGAAAACAAAGTCAAAAACTCTTGAATATATCAAACAAGAAAAGGGGGAAAGCAATCTCAAGTTTAAAATTCGAATAATTGATGAAAGATACCGGTTAATATGTGAGGAATTTAAGAATTATCCTCGTTTGCATCTTGATAAAGGTAGGACAATTATTAAGTATTATTTACACACACACACACACATAATGGGAATAAATATCAAGCTAGGTTGACTTGTCTGAATTTAAATGTAAAAATTCTTCCAATGAAAAGCTTTTTAGCCATGAAAAAGCAATTCAGAACTTCCAGTCAATAAAACAATGCAATAAATTAACGCTTTATATTACATTTTTTCGTTTATGAATTTAATTAGCCATGTTTCTGAAACACTACAAGACTATTGATCAAAAAATGGCTCAATGGACCCCGCCACAATCCAAAGCACAGTTTCTTTCAACATTTTCTTCCCAAAAATGGTACAGCACATCTGAAGGACGAAAGAATTGCCATACCATAGCTGACTGCAAATGCTGCCAAATAGTACATCCAATCCAATATGCCCTTTACCATTCAAAGCCAAAGTGCCAAAAGAAGTATGTTAAAGGCTGCATTGCTAAAAGGAGATTGCCCTTTACAGATTTAAATCGCTCAGCAAAGGAGGCTCTCAAGTCATCTCTGCCAAAACCTACCCAAAAAGAAATAAGAGAGATTGGAAGTGCTGTATTTTCAGAATTCGATGGAGTGTGTAGGCAGCAGCTTGAAAAAACATTTCAACAAGTACTTCTTCAAATTCCTGAGGCTGGTCTACAGAAAAAATTGAGCTCTGCAGAAAAGAAGAAAAGAGACAGGGATGAAAAGAGAAAGTTCAAAAGTAACATTGAAAACTTTTGGAAAGAAAATGATGCTGATCTTCACCTCTCGCAGCATACTTCTTTTGGTTTGAGAAACAAACAGCGCATGCAGCTAGGGTTTGAAACAGTGGAGGAAGCAAAAGAACGCTGGGAAAAATCACCAAAAAATAGATCACATTGTCCTAAAGCAATCACTGGTAACCTGGAAGAGCTCTTAACTGACATTGAAAATTGGCCCAAACAACCAATCAACTGGTCTGAAAAAGCAAAAATCTACAATGTACACAAAGCTGAAAGCGATTCCCCACCACCAAATGCTGGCCAGCTGCTAAAAGAATATCTTAAGAATGAAGGAGTAGATATTGCACCATTTRAAAGCCGATCACAAGGTATAGGTAACTGAATGTTGAAACACAAAAAT